GAAAGGATTGTGGCATGACCATTCCCCCTTGGGGGTGATTTCTTACTCTTTCTTTCTCATCTATCTCTTATAGGCATGTGCCCTATTTTAAAAATCTTAAAAACAAACAAACAAACAAACAAAAACAATAGTTCTCATTACTAGAAATAAGAAATAGAATTTAAAAAGCAATAGGTAACACTTTTAAGAAACGGTATTGTACAGAGGTTAAGAACTCAGATTCTGGAGCCACACTACCTAGGTTTGATTCAGACCTCTTCTTCGATCAGCTCCATGGCTCTGGAGATTTTCCTTAGCTGATCCCTCTTCTGTAAAGTGAGGGTGATATGTACTCCATGGGATTGTTGTAAAGACCTAGTAAGTTAATATTATATGTAATTGATAATTTAAAGGCAAATTGCTTAGCAGAGTGCCTGGCACATAATTATTATCATTTAGATGTCATTTTTCTTTTTTGATTGGTATTTTGATATATCACTCCCAGAATTTAAGCCTTTACATTCACTCTGCTCTTCATCCTCCTCCATCCCTATAAATTCACCTGTCTGTCCAAGTCTGGCTCTGTTAGTACTGCTATGGCATGCTCCATTTACAGTCTTAGAATGTATTGTCTTGTAGTGTAATTACCTGTTTGTTATGTGCACCCCCTTATTAAATGGTATGATCTGTGCAGGCCAGGAATATTTCCCTTATGTTCTCCATTATATTCTTCCTCCTGTTGTCTGCCACATAGTGGCCAGATTTGTGTTGAATAGAAACAGCTGTTGAATAGAATTAATTATTAAACCTTCAAGGGTCAACTAAGTTAAGCAAGAACAGAAATTAATGGTTCTCTTTCTCACTAAGCTTACAGTGTGCTGAGATAACTCTAAGTAACTAGAAAGCTGACAGTTCAGTGTTGATATAACCATATTTGAAAGACTATTGGCTCAGAGGTTTGAGCAATACTTGGGAGACCAGGACTAAAGGGAATTGATTGGTTTTAAGAAGAAAATATACATTTTTAGGGAAATTAAGTTTATAAATACAAGTGACATTTTCTTCCCTTAAGAATTATTTATTTAATTTTATTAATATTATTATTATTATTTTCGATTTGCTGCAGGGCACACATGCTCACCAGAAAGAAACACACAATATGCACACACGCACCTGGCATGTTTTTGAAGCTTCCAGGTCCAGAACTCGAACCATGATCAGCCATGTGCAAGTCCAGCACCTTAACTACTATGCCACCTGCTGGCCCCACAAGTGGCATTTTTCCTCCTAATTTTTAGCTAGTACTTTGTACCTACTGTGTATCAGGCTCTGTCCTAAACTCAGACAAGACATGGTTTCACGTTTTAAAAGTAGAGATGGATGATAAGTAGTCAAACAAAATAATTATAAATTGTGATAAATTTAGAAAATATGAAAGAGGGTGGTAATATAGTAAAACAGAGTAAAATCTACTTTAATGGGGGAAAACTACTTTAGGTAGTTTGGTCAAAGAAACCTCTGAGGCATATAAGCTGAGACTTTTATAAGTATCTCTTCCACTAAGCGTTTTGAAGTGAACAATTCTGTTTGTTGCTGTATCTCCATAGCCAAGAATCAGACCCAATGAAGGCTGAATATCCCTTATTTGAAACACCCATGATAAGAAGTATTTCATAGTTGGGGATGTATGTGAATATGTAATGAGATATCTCGGGAATAGGACCACATTCAAACATGAAATTCATTTATGTCTCGTATACACCTTAAAGGTAATTTTATACAACATTTTTATATTATAGCATTTTTACTGTGACATAGCATATGAGGTCAGGTGTGGAATTTCCCATGTGCAGTGTCATGTTGGCCCTCAGAAAATTGTGGATTTTGAAGCATTTTGGATTTTTGGATTAGGGATTCTTAAACTGTAGGTAATAGGCAGATAACAACTTGAATGAGGGAATGGTGAGGAGGAAGCAGCACGTGAATAGCTAGGAGGTATTTCCCATCACCAGGTCTGATCTTCTCTAGAAAGAAAAATAGTTTCATCATTTCTGTGGTTACACTTCGACAGAGGTTGCGTTGACTACAAGAAAAAGATCATGCTCGTCTGCATAGTATACAAGACTATTCATGAACTAAAATCCTACTTCATCTCCATTGCTTCTTCATGGGACTCTATTCTCAAGCAGTATATTGCTCTCAGTACACCATACTATTTTCACATGATTGTGCTTTTCATATGTTTCCTTTACCAAGATTCTTTTTCCTTCTTTGTCTTCCTGAAAGATTGCTGTGTGTCTTTCAAAGCCCAACTTAGGTACCAGTGCCTCCCAGAAATTCTCATTGAGAGCACCCACTGCTTCCCAAGGGGACTGCTGTCCTACCTTGTAATGTATTGTTAATGTTGTATCTGTATTTTGTAATTTCTTGTTTACGTGGGTAACCTTCCTACTAGACTATAGGAATGTATTTTTGAAGGCAAGGTTTGTTTTTATTCATCTTTGGATCCTTGATACCTGGGACAGCACATAGCTCTTAATTGGTATTTAATAATACCGTCATGTATCAGTTAACAATGGATGCATTCTCAGAAATGTGTTTTGAGGCAATTTTATCATTGTGCAAACATAATAGAAGTACTACACAAACCTAATCTACTATACACCTAGGTTATATAGTATAGCCTAAAGAAAGAATGAGCCATCTTGCAAAACAGGAAAATATTTGAGTGAGCAGGGGGTATTCTGTCAGAAATGTCCAAAGACTTCTGCCTTTACTAAGCAGTTAAGACTTTAACTGTTACGACGCTGTGAATCAGGCCGGTAGCCAAATCCCACATGGCCCACCAAGGTTCAAATTCCAGCCCTAGTAGCTCAAAAAACACTGAATGCGTGTGTGCGTACCAAAATCCCAATTGGATGAAGAAGAGATCGCAGGTTGATTACACCCCACTGAGGAGTGCTTTTTCCCTCTCCGTCTCTGGCAAGGGCACACCCTCTGGCAAGTTAACTAATAAATTAATAAAATTATATGAATCTTTTCTGACTTCTTTCTGTCCTGTCCATTTGTCTGTGGTACAAGTAACTTGGGGATTTCTTGTGCTACTAGAATTTGATTTTAGAAGACAAGCTTGATAGATGAATAAACTCATCTGGTTCCTACCGTATGATGTCTTAGTCAGGTTAGAATAACTGTCTGTAAAAGCTTAGCAATGTAGAGGAATATATACTAGGGTAGAACACAGAAGACACTTATATTTTAATATCAGCCGTGTCAGTAATTCTGCAATCCTAGAAAATTCCCTACCCTCTTGCAGTCACAATTTCTTCTGTCCAAATCTCTCTCTGGTATGCCGTTATTGCCTTGTTTATACCAGAATAAACTATATTGTTAAACTAATGTTGATAGCAGTGATGGGGCAGCAAAAGCAGGGTAGGTTTTAGATTGCAGTTAGCAGGTATATCAAAATACTCCTAAATATGAAAAGTATATTTCAGTCTTGATTCCTTAGGGTTTTTTTTTTCCCTGTAGGCCTTTTAAAGCAAGTAAATAAGCAAGCAAGTAAATAAAAATCAAGGACCACTATTGATAAAATACAAAACATGATTAAGAACAAGTCTCATGGGGGCCAGCAGGTAGACTCCCAGGTGTTGGACTACCACATGGCTGACGATAGTTCGAGTCCCAGACCTGGCAGCTTGCTTTCTCACTTTCCCTTTCTTTCATTCTCTGTGTTTGTCTGGTCAAATTAAAATAATAACAATAATAATAAATAAAATTAAGTAATTCTTTAAAAAATATTTTTTTAAAAAAAGAACAAATTTCAGGCAGTTCCAAGTTTCTTTTTTATAAAAAGATATGTGAGAGGGCCAGCAGATGGTGTAATGGTTATGTCGCAGGACTCCCATGTTGTTGACTACATTTCCAGTCCTGGACCCTGTGACTTAAAACTCACACCAAGCATGTAAACGTGCATGCCCAAAATTGTGAGAGGAGAATGGAGAAGGAATTGTGGCATGACCATCCCCCCTGGGGGGTGATTTCTCACTTTCTGTCTCTGGTGAGTGCATGTGCCCCATAGCAAAAATTTCTGTCTCTTAAAAAAAAAAAAAAAAAAAGTCTGTGAAATAAGTTCACGGTTACATGAAATCAAGGCATAACACTAAGGATTCTCAAGGTTCTGAGATGACATGCAAAGAATAACAACTTAATAAGTACTTTGTAGGAAAAGTGCTATTAAATGAACCAGAGGGTTCCCACACCATTGGAAGAGATACCAGAAACAACTGTATAAAGAAATCTCTCCTTGGGGGAAGGAGACTGTTTGCTTTAGCAATCCTTCATGATCCTATAATTGGTTAGCCTTTTAAAAGCTAAAAAATGTAAAAGACCAACTTGTTGGCCTTAGTGAGACATTTGGCATAGTAAGTGGAACCTCATGCCTATGATTGAGTTTGTTACCCAAAGCAAGTGAATCTTTGGACCTCCTTTCAAAAATTCAAAATCTCTTGACAATAACATTTAAACTACAGAATTTTTACTAATAGAAAAACACATATTAAGCCTTTTTTGGTGGAGGAATTTAATTTTACATATTAAAAAAGGGAAAGTATTTAGTTCATATTCTTTACTATCATTAGTATAGAAGGCATAAATATATATAAATTAAATTAAATTAATTTATTTTTATTTGACCAGGGAGGGGACAGAGGAGGTGAGAAAGCAAGGTACTAGGTCCAGGACTCTAACAGTCTTCAGCCATTTGGTAGTCCAGCACGTTAACCACCATGCGACCTGCCAGCACCAGCATGTATTTTAAAAATATGTCAAAGATATATAGTTCTTTTAAAAATGTACTTGAGTTATCTTACAGTTAAGAAGTTTAAAAATAAGTTTTGCCTTCATAAAACATTATTTCTGTTGTTTGTTTTTTCCCCTATTTAAGTAAAACTCTCTTTGAGCATGATAGTTAACATTATGGGATTTGAAAAAATTTAATAGTTCTCTCTCTTTCTTTACAGTTCTACTTGTCCAATTCTGAAAAGGAACGTTATGAAAAGGAATTCAGCCAAGAAAGACAACAAGACATTCTCAGACGAGCAGCCAGAGACTTGCCTATCTATACCACCTCAGCTTCAAGAAGTGAGAAAAGCAAGCCTTACACTTTTCTTTCCAAAAAAATCTTTAAAATATGTTTTTTTTCTGCCAGCATATATTTGTGTGATTTGACTATTAAATGGATACTTTCATTGCTATGAATAACATCTTTACAAGGGAACAAGATTTTCCTGTTTTCTGTGTATTCTGTGATATTTCAGATGTAGATATATGTAGATGTATAAATATAGCAAGATAGATTTTTTTTAGAATTACTTTATTTAACTTTATTTATTTATTTTAAATTTTGACCAGAGAGGACAGAAAGAGAGAAAGTGAAAAAGCAAGCCACCAGGTTTGGGACTCAAACCACAATTGACCATGTGGGAGTCCTGCACCCTTAACCACCATGCCACCTGTCAGCCCTGCAAGATAGATTTTTAATGGGTTAAACTGTAATGTGAATCTCTATTCTCTGCTTACTCTTTTTCCCCAACTCAACCTTCATGGTTAAAAATTTCTATTTTAATTTTTTTTTTTTTTTTTTTGAGAGGTTTTTAGCTACAGGGCACGGGTGCTCACCAGAAAAACAGACAGAGAGACAGAAAGTGAGAAATCACCCCCTAGAAGGGATGACCATGCTGCAATCTCTTCTCCTCCATTCTCCTCTCGGGATCTTGGGCACGCACACACACATGCCCAGTGTGAGTTTAAGCCACTGGGTCCGGGACTTGAACCACGGTTGACTACATGGGAGTCCAGCAACATAGCCATTATACCAACTGCTGGTCCCTCATTTTAATTTTTAGTAAACCATCATTAGGAAATTCTGATTTGAGTTGGAATATTATGTGTCATCACTAAGTTATAAAAAGAAAAAAACCACCCCAACTGTCAGCCCCATCGTGCAGTGGTTAAGCACTATGTCTAGAGAGCTGTATCCCACATGGCCAACTGTGGTTCAAATCCTTGCCCAGGTAACTTGTGAAACATGTTAGGCAGGTATGTGTACACATCCCAAATCTTGATGGAGTGGAGGAAAAAAGATTGCAGCATTACCAGGCCCCATTAGAGGATTCGTTCTCTCTCTTGCATTCGTGTACCCTCTGGCAATTAAAAAAAAAAGAGAGAAAGAGAATGCACTATGGGGACCAGCAGGTGGCATAATAGTTATATTGCTGGGCTCCCACATAGTCCACCCTGGTTCAAGTCCCAGACCCAGCAGCTTTAAATTCAAGCTGGGTGTGGGTGTATGTGTACCCAAAATCTCGAGAGGAGAATGAACAGGAAGGGGTTGTGGTGTGGCCATACCCCAGGCAGTGATTTCTCGCTTGCTGTCTCTGTCTGTCTGTGTGGCTCTCCAGCAAGTGTATATACCCTTTTGCAAAAATCTCTCAAAAAAAAAAAAAAAAAAGAAGAATGTACTATGAATGAGGAGAAAGAAGTAGAAGACACAATGGGGAAGAAACTTGTTTAGGGTTATAAAGCTAATGTTCTGAGAGCTGTGCTGTTAACTCAGGTTTGTTGAGCACCATAATCCTTGATGTTCCTCTGTACCACTGTGTCCATTGAGACAAGTGACTGTAATAGCAGCTTCATTTCTCACGCATTAGTTTTATGGTAAGAAGGAGTCTATGAGTGGCCAAGCTAGTCAGGAAAAAAAAATTTGTTTTGTTTTGCTATAGGGTATGTGTGCTCACTGGAGTAGGCCTGAGGCATGTGGGAGTGGCAGAGGGGAGATTGAGAAATCAGCTTCCAGAGGATGTGGTTGTACTTCAGTCCCTTCTTTTCTACTCTCCTCTCAGGATTTTGTGCATACAGGCACATGCACCTGGCATATTTTTCAAGCCGCTGGGTCTGGGATTTGAACCATACTGTTGGCATGTGGGATTCAGATGCCTAAACCTCCATGCTACCTGCTGGCCCAGGAATAAAATCTTTTAAACACACTTTTTTTTTTTTTTTAAGTTTGTTTATTTTTTCTATGATTAATAGAGAAAAAAGAAGGAAGAGACAACACCCCAACAGAATCTTGATGCTGCGATCCACCCCGAGGCTTAACTAGCTACAGGTCATGGGCATGTACGTGCCAACATACTCAAGGAGGTCTCTGGACACAAACCATTGTCATGTGGACCAACATTGCAGAGCATTACGTTTTACCTCTACACCACCATCTGCCCCCTACATACAGGAAACTTTTAAATTATGTATATATACTTCATTAATCAGTTCAAATATCAGATAATAGTAGCAGTGCTGGACAGGTATTCTGTTCTAAATGCTTTATGAGTATGAATTCACTTAAACTCCCCAACAATCCTGTGAGCTTCCCCATTTTACAAAGGAGGAAACTGAAACAGGTTAAATAACTTGTTCAGGGGGCTGGCAGGTGGTGTGGTGGTTAAGATGCTGGACTCCCACATGGCCAACCAAGGTTCAAGTCCTGGACTTAGTGGCTTGCTTTCTCTCTCTCTCTCTCTCTTTCTCTCTCTCTCTGTCTCCTCGGGTCAATTAAAACAAATAATAATAATGAATAAAATTGAATAAAATAATTTTAAAAATAACTTGTTCAGGATCATATAAGATAGTATGTTGAAAAATAGGAATTTAAATTCAGGTAGTCTGACTCCAGAACCTACTAGACTTTTCAGGTCCAAGGAGTAATAGAAAGAGCTTTCACCTTTGCGCATCTATATATAAATCATGACTCAAGAAAATTTAAAACATCTGCAAGATTTTAGGAGAGATATTTGACTTTTAAATGTCCAGTACTGTCCTTTTTTCATAACTAATATGGTACAGAATAAAAACATAGATTACAGATCAAACTCCAGCTTTTCTATTACTAGTACAGTGTAAGTCACTTTAACTTTCTCAGCCCTGGTTTCCTCATTTTAAAATGAGAATTGGGCTGACCATGTGGTCTAATGGTTAAGGAGCTGGATCCCACATGACTGACTACAGACTTTGAATCCCAGACCCAGCAGCTTGAAAAACATCTGGAATATGTGCATGTATGCCCCAAATCCCTGCAGGATAAATAAATAGAGGAAAAGAGACTGTGGTATGACCGCCCACCATTGGTGAGTGCTTTCTCCCTGTCTTCTCTCTCTGTCTTTGGTGAACACACATGCCTCTGACAAAATAAAAAATAAATGGATAATATCTACCTCTCTGGGTTAGTATTACTATTAAATGAGATAATATATGCAAAGCACTTACTATAAATCTTGGTATATAATAATGAATTTTTAGTTAAGTAAATAAAGTTTAAAAAAAGAAAAAATAATGAATTTTTAGTAAATGATGGTTTACATAATTCCTTTTCAGCCAGGCATGACAGACATGCCTGTAATCTAACCTACTTGAGAGGCTGATGTAAGAGGATTGCAAATTAGAGGCCAGCCTGGGTAACATAGCAAGACCCTGTCTCCAAAAAACAATCTTTTTATTTTTTTCCTTCAATTTTTATTTTTAAAATTTATTTATTTACATTCATTCACTGTATATCATTACAGTATACAAAATGAGATTCTCTATCTAGAATACACTGTATATTGACTCGATCAGGATATTATCATACATGTTATTGTCAACAAATAATTTTCCATTTCTTGTTTCTTATATATTTTGTTTCCCCCCACTTGATTCCCTATCTCTCACTCTCTGTTATTTCTCACCCCCTCCCACACTGTCTCTGGTATCTATAGTCGCTTTCCATGCGCTCCCCCCCCCCTTTTATTTCACATGTTATCAACTCTCTAGAGATCTTAATTAAACTAAATATTTTCGGTAGCAAGCACAGCTAATGTATACATATCCATGAACACATGTCTGACTTTAGGCTGAAACCTCAGTGAGTATAATGAACATACTATAAAGTAGCACCTTTTTTAAAATGTATTTTTTAATTTCAGGGAAAACATTTTTAGTTTTAATAGATCAAAATAAAAAATGTTAAGAGAAATTTGCTTAAGACTTGTAGCCAGGAAAAAGGTTAGGATTCAGTTCAGACATCTGAGATTCAGTCTTCTGAATGATCTAATCTGCTTTTAATACTTTCAAGGGAGGTTTTGATTTTCTATATTACAGCCTTCATCTCTAACAATTCTGTTTGATTATTTTTTTAAAAAACAAGAATTATTTATTTGCTATATTATTCTTATTTTAATTTAATCAGATTGAGAGAGAGAGAAAGGGAAAGTAAGAAAGCAAGTCTCCAGGTCCGGGACTCGAACCGTATTCGGCCATGTGGGAGTCCAGCACCTTAACCACTGCACCACCTGTCAGCCCCATATTTGATTCTTTTTTTATGGTGTTTATTTCCTCTTTTAGATCCTGCAAGAACTTCCGCATCCTCTAAAACTTGTCGTCTGTTTTCTCCTGTGTCTTCTGGAGTTCATTGTCTCTCTTCTCTTACATCTCTGTTAACTTTGTCACTATGGATATTCTAAATTTTTTATCTGACATTTCCATGAGTTCTCTTGTATTGTCTATGGATGATGAGAAGTTACTCTTTTCCCTTGGGGGAGAGATATTTTCTTGGCTTCTCATATTTCTTGTGCCTCTGTGGTAGTTTCTGGTCATCTGATGGATTGTATGTTTTTTCTTCATTTTGGGAGTTAAATCTGAGTGTTCAGAGGCATGCAGCAGGAGGTGATCTGCAATCTAAGCAATATCATTTTTCTTCTTGTGTGCATCAGATTCCATGGAATATGCAGATTACTCTGACCCTGGCTATATCTTGGGGTCAGGAGGGTGAAGTCTGGGCAGAAAACCTTCAGTTGTCCTCGTCCCTGAAACGGGCCGCTCAGAACTCAAATGTATGTGACTGATGTCTGGCGATTGGCTTGTCCTGGCTAGATCTGGGGGATAGAAGGGTGAAGTCTGGGAAGAAAACCTTTAGTTGTTAACAATCTTTTTTATTTTTACTTTCATTTTATTAAGAGAGAGATATTTGCCATAAGGGCGTGTGTGTTCATCAGAGAGAGAGAGAGAGGTAGAGAGACAGAAAGCGAGAAATCACCTCCCGGGGGGATGGC